TTTGATTATACATGACCATTATGATCTGTTAATCACTTTGTTTACTTCTGTGTATAAATATTGATGCTCACCCCTAATAAACTTGCCACACTTACTCTGAAGCCTTTCAAGCTAAGGATAGTGTGAGCCCGTTGATCAACGAATTGGTGTCTGGTCTCTGACAGATTGTGAGCCCATACCAACTCCGCACGAACTCGGGTGCTGGAGAGGTGAGTGAGGACTTGCTTTTTTACCTAACACTTGCATTCTGGAAGTTTCCACTCTGCTCCTCCGAGCATGTAGCTACCTGGGAGCTGGACTGGATGAGGCATTTGCAAAATGCTATAGTTTTCTACAAGAGCGGGAGAGAAAGATGTCGCTTGAATGAACGCCTTCCTCTCTCTCCCCGGGTGCTTGCTAAGGAGAGGAGATGCTGGGCGTGTAGATTTTCAAGCGGCGATTGACAAGAACTTTGCCCGTTGCTTTTGCCCGTTCCGTGACTTTAAAACAGCACGAAGGCAAACTTGGCTGCAGTACAGCGGTTACAAGCTGCTCCTGGGAAAGGAGGGGAGGCAGAAAGGGCCGGGGGAAGGAGATCTAGTGTCGCTAAAGCTTTCTGTGCCCACCCTGGAGGAAACTGTAATTGCAAGCAAATCTCCTTCACTCCCTGCGCCTCCCGAGATTTTGTGTTGGGGGGAGGAATGGGGAATTCTTTTTTTAAACCTGGAATTAAAACAAAACAACCCCAAGAGCTTCTCCCTCCCAAAGTCCCCCTGCAATTCTTGTTAAAAGCGGGTATAAGCTAACAACCCTTAAAAAAAACCCCACACCAACCCATAGTGGTGGTGTTGATGATGGGAAATAAATAAATAAAGAACTGAGTAAGAGAGAGAGAGGGGCAGGTTCAATGATCTAAACAAAGAAATCATGGCGGAGTGTTTACATTTGGCAGCCCCAAAGACTCTGGATTACGGGATAAAAAAAAAAATGCCGCGGCGCAAAGGAGTTTGCAGCCACCTCGCCGTTTCCGGGGTAAGTGCAACGTGCAGGGGGCGAGCCAGGGCCACCCTCCGGGAGCGGGACCTCGGCCCCGGCCCCACCCCTCGCTCCAGCCGCGGCGGGTGCTGCCCTGTGCTGCTCGCCCCGCGGGGTGCCTTGCCCTGGTTGCTTTGAAGTGGCGGGATGAGGTGGGTGCCCCTGGGATGGCGAGGTAGCCGGGGGAGCAGGCGGCCGCGGGGAGCAGCCCCCCCCCCCGCCCCGGCTCGCGGAGATAAAGGAGGTAACAGCAGTCGCCGTGGCTGCTTCCCCTCGGAGCGCCTGGCAGGAGCCCCCTTCCCGCCCCCCAGCCGGGGTCACACATGCCTAGCTCTGACTGGCGGCTCCTCCTCCCAGCCGAGCCCCGCTCCCCGCCCGCCGCAAAGGGGCTCTCTGTGCCGCGCGCGCTGGCAGGCGGCCGGCGGGGGAGCGCGGGGAGAGAAGAGCCCTGCTTTGTGACCTGCACGGTTAGCGAGGTCCCAGCATGCCCCTCCCCGCCAGTGTTGGTCAGGGCGAGTTGCCCAGGAGCCAGGTGAAGGGAGAGGAGGAGTCCAAGGGCCATTTCCTCCAGGAAATGTTCTTGTGAGGGGAGAGGTTCCCAATTAGTGGGTCTGGGTCAAAGCCACATCTTGTCTATTTTTGGCCTCCCCCTCTAATTTTAATGCTAAAGAGAGTAAGTGTAGGCACTGTTCTGACACCAGAATAATCCAGATCTTGCTGCAGCAGTTCTGCAAACACTCAGAACCAGCTACTGGATCCAGCCAGTTCTTGGTCCCAAGCACTCAAATTACACACCTAAGTAGAGCCCCTGTTTGCCTATTCTGGTTTCACCTTAACAATCCAGATGCTGATGTGCCCCAGTGCAAATGAGCCAGAAAATCTCTGATCTGGCATCTCCACCTTGACAAACTTTTGGCTACAAAATCAGAATGATACTTTTCAAATACAGAACAAGTGTTACTTCTACTCCCTCTGCCACCTTCCCAAATATCTGGGTGCTGCAAACACATCCTGCTACAAGGAAGCTGCAGAAACTCTTAATTTGGCACCTGGATCTGGCTAACTAATGGATGCCTACTCCCCAGTTTTATCATCTTTTAATTTAACACATATGCTGCTTATCTTAGTCCACCACAGTCATCCTGATCTCAACATATTGTGAATTTGGCAGGATCCAGGTGTTGGATCCAGGGTTTTCAGACATTGTTGTAACAGTATGTGTTGGGGTCCAAATTTTCTTTCCCCCCCCTTTTTTCTTTGGTATAACAGAGGCTGCTAAAAATATCTGTTTAGATAGTGGAACTTGGAGAACTGGAATGAATAATTGGCTGGCTCCAGGTTTTGTGGTGCTAATAAGAACTTGTAAATAGAAGCAAAGTATGTCTATACCTACATATATAATATCTGTGGTCTGCTCCTCCATGCCTTACAATGCTTTCTGACAATGTGAGATTGGGCCCTGTTTTTTCCCATTTCGGGAGAAGACCAAATGTAACTTGCTTTATTCCTCTTTGATGCTGCTATTTTTGTAGAGTTTGAGAAGGTCAAACACCTGAGTGATTTCAAAATAGGCTGGGTGTCCCAAGATACTATTCCTGCATCATTATCAAGGCTCTTCGGGACTCTGGAACTTTTCAAACCTATGAGACTTAAACCGATAACACATTTGCTTTTCATACCCCTCTTTCCCCCCATATTTTATAATTGTGTTTGCAGATAGCAAAGATGTTTGTGTTCAGTGTCTTACTCACTCACATATCAGAGGGGTAGCCGTGTTAGTCTGAATCTGTAAAAAGCAACAGAGGGTCCTGTGGCACCTTTAAGACTAACAGAAGTATTGGGAGCATAAGCTTTTGTGGGTAAGAACCTTACTTCTTCAGAAGGTGCCACAGGACCCTCTGTTGCTTTTTACTCACTCACAGTTCATCATCTCCGTCCATCTGAACCTGAAAGGAAGTCATATGCTGAACTGGTTTCAACATGTATTTCTTTGGGTATTTCTATAATGCAAAGACTCCCAGTTATATAATTTTTTATTGTTATTATAATTGAAAACCTTGTATTCAGATCTACATGGCAATGATACAATAGAACAATGGAGACAATGTGAAAAATAGAAATGATGGGGCAAATTTTGACGTCATTTCTAAGATACCTTGCATAAGGACTGAGGGCCTGAGTAGCGCTCCCATTGACTTCAGTTGGAGTTTTGTGTGCAGCATCCTTGTTGGATTGGACCATGAGTGAGGACTGCAGAATTTGGTCACATGACAGTATGTGCAGTCTATATAGCAATCTTGCTTCTCATACTATACAGATCACCATGGTATTTGGTGCCTCACAAAATTACAAAGTCTAGACATGAAGTTTAGAATGAAAAATTAAACCATGTAAAAATTTTGTACTCTGAGATCATTGGAAATAAATGTGTTTTAAAGAGTTTTGGAGGCCACTGCCACTGTTTTAACCCCAACAACACAAATAGCCTTCTACCTCCCAAAATAAACTTCCACTACATTTACTTTTAGGCTGGGCCTGCCTAAATTACTTTTTGTGAAAAAGACCTTTAGAGGGAGTGCTTGTACTCTCTGATGTGCCCATCTTTTGCCCCCTTACTTTGTACTTGGCTTATCAGTCCTAAACTTTCTTGGTGGTCTAAGGCTGTTTACTTAAAAAGGACCTTTTAATGGGAGCATTTTGTTGATCCTTAACTGCTATTCTGTTGTGGCTATTTACCAGGTTGTCCTCTAATTTCTATGCTACTTTAACTGTCTATAGCCTAGACTGGTTAACTGTTCTGGCCAGAACTGCCACTATTCTGCCCTCTTATTCAAGACCAAGCAGCAGTAACTTTTTTTTTCATTCAAACCAAAATTGAGATTTAAGATTTATGTCAAGCAGCTGTCCCCCTATGAAGCTGCTCTTCCAAGTATCTCATGTTTGTTTTCAACTAAAACACACTTTATTGAGCGCTAATATTTAATATTCACATACCCACATTGACAATCATGATTCCCCAGTCTAGATCTGCATAGAGGGGGATAAGATTCAGAGGCTGACAGAGCAGTCACAATAGTTGTAAGCCACGAGGTTACTAGACTGGCTAGCAACACAGTCAGCTAGGAGGTGGGTAGGCAGTGAGGTTGATATGGTACCCTAAACTTATTACTGTTACTAATTGATACATATTAACAGGATTGGGATTTTGGATGTATATCAGTCTTGGAGTTTTTGGGAAGTATTGTCTTATCTCTAAGGTTGTCATGAAGTTCTGTTTAATTAATGCAATACCTGTACCGTACGTGAAAATTCATCCAACCCTAACTACTCTTTTGTCTTGTTATATGTCATGAAAACCATATATTGTTCAGTTTTTTAGGGTAACAGACTTTTTTTTTTAAATTGATGCCAGGCTTTGGCTACTTGACCAAAATATTCACCCAAACATAAAAAAAAATGCTAATATTACTACAGTTTTGTTCCATATAAACTTATTGTTTGACATAGCTTGATAGAGAATTAATGGGTGTATTTTCCTTCGTCGTGAATATTTATAACTTTCAGTTGATGGCAGTTAACATGTGTATTGAGGGAAGAATAGATCCCTCAAATGATGTTGAGTCTGTCTCCACATATGCTGCATACACAATAGACTGAACTCTCACACTAGCGCTGGACAGTAAGATATTATGACATGAATATATATTTTAGAGCTCTGCACAAAATGAGGATTTCATGCATAGGCAACGCAGTGTGACAAGTCGTATCTACTGTGACCTCGTACTTCCAGTGCAAAGTTGTGTAATATATATTCTGCTAAATTAATGCACACAATAAACAGGCCCTATCTCATTTTTATGCTAATAGTAGTACTTTTCAATTCCCTAATATCTTTTATGCTAAGAACTGAAAGTAAATTACAGGTATGAGCAAACTGAGCTTTATATCATCCTGTGAAGTTTTAGGTTATCATTTGGAAAACAGCTGGAAAATGTCTTAATTATTGATTATTGTTGGTTCGTCATGATGATGATAATCTGATTTCTTCTCTGTCTCACACTCAATCATTTCTCACTCCAGCTCTTAAGATTGTAAAATAAGATGTTACCATCTAACGAGGGAAAAGAAATGCTCAATCCCAGCCATAAGGAATAGGTCTTTGGACTGTATTTGGAGAATAGAAGAGGAGATGATTGTGTGGTTGATTCATAAAGGGACAATGAATTGGAAGATGGTCCGGTGGCAGGGTAGATGCATCATATGTGTGGCTGGTGTATATCTCATTGTATTGAGTATGGGTCAGCATGTGAGCTGAGGTTCATGTTATGAATGCTGATGGTGTACTCTGTGCAGGTAAAAGGTGTGAAGGTTAGATGGGGGCAAAAACAGATTTAAGATTGTTCCCCTTATCTTGAAATACAAAAGGTGAGATTTTAAAAAGTGCTGAGTGTTTGCCTAGCTCTGCCCTCCATAAGGTTAAAGGTTAATTAACATTAACTTCCATTGACTTCAGCGAGAGCAGAGTTAGGCCAATGATGAAAGCTTTTGAAAATCCCACCCTGAATTTTATTTAAAGTGTAAGTTTAACTTCGAATTTCCTGGGTTTCTGACACTTTTTTCTTTTAAACTACAGGACAAGATTAATATCTCAGTAATACCATTGTAAATGGACTAGTGTGGCAGAGATGAGAATCCAGCCCACAATGTTCTTTTAAGAACTTTTGCTCCACTGAGGTCAATGAGGTTGCGTGGGCTGCAAATTATCACAGAATTTGGCTTCAAGTTATTAGTACATATTTACAACCTTAATTCCATTTTAACAAAATGTTTTTTGTTGGAACATTTGCAGCCATAGCATACAGCAAAATTATCACTGCATTTATTAAGCACAAACAAAGCATCCCCATAATGCTGTGCAGAAACAACTGACGGAACAGAACATATTACAAGACACTATCTTTTTCATTAAGTCTACACAAAATGAGGATTTAATGCAT